GCATTAGCTTGGTACCATCCAGACATTAGCTTGGTACCATCCAGGCATTAGCTTGGTACCATCCAGACATTAGCTTGGTACCATCCAGGCATTAGCTGGGTACCATCCAGGCATTAGCTGGGTATCATCCAGGCATTAGCTGGGTACCATCCAGGCATTAGCTGGGTACCATCCAGACATTAGCTTGGTACCATCCAGACATTAGCTTGGTACCATCCAGGCATTAGCTGGGTACCATCCAGGCATTAGCTGGGTATCATCCAGGCATTAGCTGGGTACCATCCAGGCATTAGCTGGGTACCATCCAGGCATTAGCTTGGTACCATCCAGACATTAGCTGGGTACCATCCAGGCTTTAACTGGGTACCGTCCAGGCATTAGCTTGGTACCATCCCGGCATTAGCTGGGTACCATCCAGGCATTAGCTTGGTACCATCCAGGCATTAGCTGGGTATCATCCAGGCATTAGCTGGGTACCATCCAGGCATTAGCTGGGGACCATCCCGGCATTAGCTGGGTATCATCCAGGCATTAGCTGGGTACTACTGATAGAAGATGAACAGGAGAGGAGACACAGCAATGGAAAATAAAGAGAATAGAATAGAANAGATGAACAGGAGAGGAGACACAGCAATGGAAAATAAAGAGAATAGAATAGAAAATCCCTTAAGTGACCCACTATAGGGAAAGTCTGGTAGCTGTTGCGTCTGAAAAATAAAATTTGGTTCCTTAGTTCTGGAGGTAAACACACAGTTTAACGCTAGCTAGGCTGTTAGTTCTCAAACCTGGAATTAAATGGAATTAAAACCTTGACGGTGGTTTGTTGTTCGATGATAAATCCTGATTAGGACATTAGAAGATGGACATCATGTCCAAACAGACGCTGCTAGCTGTGCTGTGAGGAAGCATCCGTCCTACAGCCGCTCTAATGATCAAACTCTTCCGTCTGTTTGCCGTCGCTAATATTTCCAACTATATTTATTTGTAACTTAAGGAAAGACAAAGAGTTTTTTGTTTTTTTATTCTCTTTATTAAACATTTTCATTCAAATGAAACAAACGACACCCATAGATTGATTTCTACGCCTAGTTCTGCTTCCTTGCTCTCGTATGTCAGCCGTTTGTTGTAGGTATTTCCTTTTCTATATAGAAATAGAATACATAGAATAGTTTTTTAGCCAAGACTGAGTTTGAGCTTTCATGCTTGCAATGGTCACCGTATGTTAGGTCATTGAAGCGAACAGGTGACTGGATCCAAAGATCCTAAATGATTAGCTAAAATGTTAGCTAAAATTAGACCAGGATGATTTTAGGATCCATCAGAGTTAAGATGTTATGAAAAGCTTGAAGTGATTCAGTGGAAGATGCTGGTCTGTCAGCCTCAGTGTTCCAGTGGCCAGATGAGCCAGCAGATAATCCAGCTGAGTTAGACTGGAGATGGCAGCGAGGAGGACTGCAGTCATTCCACATCACTGGCCTGAACGTCAGATCTGAAGCTGGGACGGATACGGACAAAGCTTAAGCTCAGCTCAGCTCCAGCTTAAGCTCAGCTCCAGCTTTAGCTCCAGCTTCAGCTCCAGCTCCACCTTTAGCTCAGCTCCAGCTTTAGCTCAGCTCCAGCTTTAGCTCAGCTCCACCTTTAGCTCAGCTCCAGCTTTAGCTCAGCTCCAGCTTCAGCTCCAGCTTCAGCTCAGCTTCAGCTTCAGCTCCAGCTTTAGCTCAGCTCCAGCTTTAGCTCCAGCTTCAGCTCAGCTTCAGCTCCAGCTTCAGCTCAGCTCCAGTTCAGCTTCAGCTCAGCTCCACCTTTAGCTCAGCTCCAGCTCAGATTCAGCTCAGCTCAGTTTCAGCTCCAGCTTTAGCTCAGCTTCAGCTCAGCTCCAGCTCCTCTCAGCATTTGGCTCCTGAAGCCAGTTGAATGATTAATTGACCCCTGGTGGTAAATGTCTAAACCCAGCAGCAGAACTTCCTTTAAATACAGCAAACATTAAAGGTCAAAGTTCAGCTGTGCAGCTTTGCTCGTTAGCCTGTATGCTAGGTCCCGTAGAGGCTGACACAGACCCCCCTCAGGGACCACAGGGTGGCCCTCAGGGACCACAGGGCGGCCCTCGGGGACCACAGGGCGGCCCTCAGGGACCACAGGGCGGCCCTCAGGGACCACAGGGTGGCCCTCAGGGACCACAGGGTGGCCCTCAGCCATTGGGCTAAGTTTGAAGTTTCATTTTATTCTGTTAATCTTCTTTATTTCACAATTTATAAATTGTTTAAAGACAATAAAGTAAATGAGAAATGAAAAGAAAATATTTTTATAATGCAGGAAGTTTAGCTGAACGCTGACCTCTGCCTAGAGATGTTAGCATAGAGCCGCTCTGCTGCTCTACAATAATAGGTCAGCTGTGACTCAGTGACCTCGCTGACCTCTGCCTAGAGATGTTAGCATAGAGCCGCTCTGCTGCTCTACAACATTAGAAATGTTCAGGCTCTGTAAGCAGCTGGCTCCGCCCCCTTTCTTTCACAATGAAAGAGCGACAGAAAAAAGCTCAGTTATAGATGAAGCTTTAGATGTTAATTCAGCCTGGAAATAAAACTAAAGATGTTTTCCAACAATCTGAATCAACGTCAAACAGGAATAAAGAAATTCTCCTGTTTTGATCTTTGAGCTGACAGTAAAGCTGACAGACGGACCGGCAGCGCAGAAACACGCAGCTTAGAAGCTGAAACACGAAGTAAAATCTGTCGTCTAAGGAAATGATTATTATAATCAGTTCTAAACTGGAAACGCTGCATCTATGCTGCAGTCTAACATAGAAATGCAACAGTTTCTCTCTTTTCCTTTTCATGTATGTCTGGGTCCCTGATTATTAATCTATATAAAATGTTAAATTCTAAATAATTCTAATAAAAGTGCATAAATAAGGTGTGAGAGGCTGTTGGTGACTAACGGCTAAAACTGATCTGTGAAGATTCAGTTTCTGACACATTTTGGATTGTTTTTCCAATAATGTCCTCCTTGGGCTTCCGTAGCTCAGAGTGAAATCAGTCCATCAC